TTCGGTCATTTCTCGCCGCTGCCAAAACACCCGAGCGCCGCGTCCCGCATAAGTGCGCATGGATTTGCCCACCTGCGCACTTACCATCATATTCGATTAAGTACGCCCTCACGAGTCTAGTGACACGCAACTTGATCCGCTTCAACATGGCCAAACAAACGCCTCAGTCGCTGCTTCGCATCGAGATCGTCGGGGTTCTTGACGAGGGCCCTTTCGATGTACTGCGGGACACGGGGATGAGAGCACGGGCGTCGTCCTCCATCGGATTGCAAGCCTCGCATTCATCTGCATCAAGCCCGCTACGAACGCATAGCATAACTTGAGCTGCTGGGAAGATACCGTACTCGCTGCATTGATGATCCTTGCTGCATTGACGACGAGCATCACGATGCAGCAGAAATGGCAAAGGTCGTCCAATGGACCTGAATACTTGCTTCTCATCGACGAGGTCAAACCTACAGCACCTCGAGGAGGCGACGGAGCTGGTTGCTCGGCAGGCGTCGCAGTCGTGCGACTGGCACGCCCTTGGATGCAATGACCTACTTTGCGTGTTTGAGGAGAATTCTGCTAACATTTATGGGTGCGTCGCGTCCTAGTGTAGCGCCTTTTCGCATTTGCTGCTTGGCCGCGTTCGCAGACGTAGAGAATCGGCACAAAATGCAGCGGGACGGCCTGCCACACCGCCATGCACGTCATATACATACATCATCATTGATTAGGAATGTCCGATAAGCTCGAAGCGCTGCACGTATGCATTGCATTCGTCGGCGTTAATGCTCTCGACCCGGTTAAATGTGGCAGTTTGCTCATTTATTCGTGGCATATGCCGCAAACAATATTTGATTGCTCACAATTGTCGTCGTACGCATCGCACGCCGACGCGGAGTAGCATATCATGACCTCCAGAGTGTCTTCTATCATGTTCTCAAGTTTGAGCGACTTCATTTGTGAACGCGATTTGGCGCATCGACGGCTCGATGGCCGTGATGGCCGATGTGCAGTTGCGTGTGATTGGTCTAAAACAAAATTAAAATAGCGAATCAAATGGAGCTAAAATGAATTCTACGTTTTGGCGGTTCCTGGTTGCGACGTTTAGTGCGGTGCATCGTCTGAAGGCGACAGCAAGGTCGTTTGAAGCCGCGGACTACCTCGGCCAAGGCAAAAAAATTGCGACAAGCTTCCGTTCACGTCATCAATTGTGCTGCCGGGCATTTGGCGCAATAAGAACGTCACAATCACGCACTCGACGACCATCAACAGCTTCTGCGCCCAAGCCGATACGCAGGCTTCTCCAAAAGGTTAGTGCTGGAACGACATCGACGCCTCGACCTCGCAGTGCGACCAAAGTCTGTAGACGGGCTGGTGCAGAAGCTGCAGAGCAAAGATCGTGATGTCGAAGCGACGGGATTTCTGGTTCAAAGCGCGATCCACCAGCAAGCCCAAAATAAAACGCGATCCATGTTTGCTGGGTAAAGATAGAAAGGCATCGACACTTGTTGGCTTGTGACTTTTAGAGTTGAGAAGAGATGGGGAACGAACCCAGCTGTGAAGAACCGATCTACGGCGCCGACGAAGCCGACGCCAGTACGACAGTCGCCCACGCACCTGCTACGGAATCTGTGGCTCAACCACTCCTATATCCAAAAACAACAACAGAACGGACGCTGTACGACGCCTTGCTCAAGCACACGGCGTCGCGAGTGCTCGCTGCGATGGATCGAGCCGCACGGAAGCAGCAATTTACTTACGACGTGGCTAACCTCTCAGCCATGCTTGCACAAACAAGCTACGTCACCGACATCGAGGCGGCAACTACCGTCGTGCTACGGATGCTGGACGCCCAGCCACACCTCTCTCTCGACGCAACCCGCAAGGCCTTTCTCTTAGACACTGGGAGCTTTACGCTGCCGGACGTCGCACCGACCATTGAACCGAGTACCGACTGGACTGTCGTGAGCGTCATGCTCGTGCGACGCTATGGTATGCAGATCGCGTCGCAACCCGTGGCCCACGAGACGATCGCGGCCCACGTTACAAAGGCGGCCGCGCGATGCTCGGTCGACTCGATTTATGCCTTGAGAACCGTCTTGCAGGGTCTTTTGGGTCTCGGGTGCATTGTCGAAAAGACACTTGCTGGCGGCGGCAAGTGCCTTACGATCAACCCTGCGTGTCTCTCTGGCCCTGCATCTGCTTTTGGTGGCTTTCTCCACGTGATGCCACCGGTAACGCGTCCGATCCCACGCATCGACACCCCGCCTGCCGCAGATAAAGTGCCGAGGGCATCGGAGCGCTCATTGTTTGACGCGCTCCTCGAGCACTTGACTGTGTGGGTGCATTTTTATGCGCAACACGCGATCCAGTCGACATCCAAGCAGTACAAGCTGTCGAAAATCGAGCCGATTCTGGTCAAAGCCGGCTACGTGGACGACATTCCAGCGGCGGCCGCGCGCGTCCTGCAAAGCATCCTCCACGATTGCAGGTTGCAACGCAGCGACGTGCACCTGGTGGCGGCGACCGAAGGAGTACTGTTGCCGCCACAGATGCCCAAGAAGGTTGTGCCAAAAGGACGGGCGATTATCCAGCATTACGTCCACCAAATTGCAATCACACCGCGAGCGACTGCGAAACTTCCCGGCACGTGCACCCACGCAGATGGGACGACGCAAATCGCTCTGGACGCGCTGCGAGCACTGGGCTGCATGAAAGAGTGGACAGATGCCAAAGGCACTCTGCTCATGGGCTTCGACCCCGCCGTTGTGCAGCGGCCGCTGGCGTCGTTCCCGGACATGAGCTACCTCTTTTCGATGGACGAGGTACCGGCGTTGACAAATCCAACCGCCGTACGTCTCGAGCAAAAGGCGGGAAACAACCACGACGTACATGCAGCAAGCCAGGTTTCGGTCGCCGCCACGACCGAGCACGCGTCGCCGACGACAGCGGCTGCCGAAGCCAGCCTTCCACGAGCCACCATGACATCGCCGCCAAAACCACCCGCAGTTCGTACCAGCAACGACACCAGCGCCGCACCCGTTGTTGCGCTGCACGCTGCCACGTACCTCGGCGCGATTCTCGAGTGGGTGCAGGGTGGGGACCCCTATTTCGTCTCGTACATTCGCAGCCAAGTGCGGTCGCTCTTGCCACCGGACGCGCCCATGGACGCTGCTGTCGCCGCAATCGTCGCTTCGTTGACACAGCATCCGCAGCTTGTCTTTCATAACTCGGACCGGCCGTGCTTTCTTGGCAACGGCTTCCCTCCGCCCGATGACCGCATGGATGCCACGCCGCCTCGCTCGACCGCGTCCTCGGCAGGTGCGTACATCCTGGAGGTTGAAACAAACGGTCTCAACAAATACGTCAAATGAATAGACAGCAACGAGGAGGATGACGCATCCGAGCCCGAGGCAGAAGATACGGTAGTGTCGGTGCCAATCGCGGCAAGCCCCAAAGCCTCGTCCGAGATCAACTCGCGCCGCATCATTGCCGCCTACGTGCAGCAGGTCGTAAAGCAAATCGAGTCGGGAGAGTCGTACAACACGGCGCGGCTCATGCGCGAGTTACGTCTCTTGGAGCTCGACGATTTGGATCTTGAAGACGCAGTGAACGCCGTCGCAGCAACGCTGGAAGCCATGCCCAGTATCATTTCTGCCGACGACAACGACGGTGGCTCTGTGTACCGTCGACGAAGCAAGCCAGCGCCACCGTCTCCAACGCTCAAGGCGACGTTGTCAGGTGC